CGTATCGTTTAAAACTTTAACATGGACATTTCAAAAAGGTTTAATTTATTCATTAGGCGATAAATGAAGACGCACACAATAAACGGACACTCAATATGGCCATTCAATTTAACACGGTGAGCATTTCCATTCATAAGGTTCACACTTTAGTCATATTGGCTTCACAGACTCACCATGTACTGTCATTTTAAACAAACAAAAACAAACAAAAACAAAAAAAACGCTTTTTGGATAATTGGTCAAATTAATAGGTTTATTGGTTTTATTATTTGGTAGATTGCATTGTTTGCTTTGAAGTCATTACTTTCTGAGTAAGGTGTTCGACTTACTCTTAATATGGTATAGGCCTATGATATGTATATAACACATGTATGAATTCAAATAATTAACTCTACATTCAGATATAACAATCTAGTAAAATAACAGCATTTTTGTTCTATGTATCTTTGAGAAAACATTCTATTTATTGTCTGCCTGTGGCAATACAAACATAAAGTGTTGTTTTTTTAAGTTAGGCAGGAGGTTTAGAGATTAGTTTATGTTAAAAATTAGATTTATGTATTTTCATGTAGGGACAAAACTCCCTTAGAATGTAGTCATCGATGCCAAAGTGTTTCGTTCACAACCCTGCTGGCAAATCTTGCAACTATGTGGCTTCGGCTCTAAAAACACTATGACATCTTCACTCCACAATCCACAGGCAGAACTTTAAGATGCTGCTGGCAAAGTCTGGTTTTACACTCACAAAAGAGGTGCACTTGAGTCTTTAGCTCCCTTGTGAAGAGGACTCCATTGCGGGAAGTGCATACTGAAGAGGAAAGCAAACAGTAAACGGCATTAAATTACCATTCAGATGAACTCATAAATGTAGAAGACTAAGGCCTGGTTTGTGAATTTTTACTCTGTTATAAGGCTTAATGTTTTGTTGACGTTCTGTAAAAAAATCTTGTTAAGCATTTCCTTGTTTAAAGTGATTGGAAACCTGTTATTGTACTGGAGAATTTAAGAGTAAAAATGAAACAGCTTATCATAACAATGATTCACATCACGCATCTGAAAAACATGTCCAAGCAAGAAGGGTTATTTGAGTACATGTTTTTCATCCAGCAAACACTTAAGCAATTTAGAGTAAGCTTGCTTTTAGAAACACTCTTCATAAAATAGGAAAATAATTTTAGACTTCGGCTGCGGTTAGATAGCAGAGTCTACTTTGCAGTCTTGGATGAATTTTTTAAACATTTATTGACCCATCCTCTTTGGGCAGTAAAGCCAGAGTGCAGAATGGGTCGGGATCACAAGGTGTGCATATTAAAACTTTTATACTGGCCTCAGAAGCACCTCTGATCTCTCTGTACTAAGTGCCGGGCTGCAAGGTCGTAAATCACGAGCTGTGAGAGGAATATCTCATCGGCTGCTAGCGTTGGGCCGCCCTGCGCTGGGATTATAAGGAATCAAAAGGCCACGTATAGACTAATGCCACACAAGCCCCTGAGAAATCTGAGACAAAACGGTTCAACGCCACAGACCCTGCACACCACACTCTGTCATCCCAAAGGGGGAAGCTGGCAATAGGGCCTATAAGGTGTCTGCATATGCATAAATTGCAAAAATAAATAAAAAACTGTATTTCTTTGGAACTGACTGATCATAAGCCTCATTGATGTGAGCTTATACTCCTCATTTAATGAGTAAAAAGCAGAATTTGTTCACTAAAAAACTGAGATGCATAATCTCAGATCAATGAGGCCTATGATAATTCAGTTCCAAAAAGAAATACAAAACCTGTGCTGATTGAAAGAAAACAAGTTGATAAAAAGATTGAATACAATATTCGGCAATTATTTGAACACAACAAGTGTAACAAAGAAAAAAATTCTAAATAAAATAAATAAATGGTTTCATCATTAAAAGGTATAAAAACAATCATGTTAAAGGTTAGAATAACTTGAATGGTTGAATACTACTTCACATTACATGTATGATAATGCACTTGGTTTATGAGGAATGGTAGCCTATCCTGTTTTAATCTTCTTTAAGGTCAATAGGGTAGCACCAGTCTTTTGGCGGGTTTATTAAAAAGGATAAAGCTTCCCACTAGACACATGCGGCCAAGTGTTTTCCCTGTGGGAATGCTCAAAATCCTTGTATCTGTCTCTTCATCTACTTTCAACACACACAAACACTATTTGCACTATGGAGTTTTGACATTATGGTTTATGTTAGCATGTGCTTTTCTAACAACATGCTCCTGCATTTTTATTTATTCTTTAATGACATTTTGAAACTCTTGGAATTTCTTTCCAGCCTCAAGGAAATATACAGTATATCATACAGATCCTGAACAGCAGACGGTTTGCTCAGTAAAGGAAGGAATACGTTGCAACTCGCCGTCCAAATGAATAAAAAAGGCGTTTATTACCTTCCAAGTGGAGCACTTTAGTCTGTCATATCTTAAGTGAGGAACACTTAAAACAAGTAAAGCGAGATAAGCAGCGGTTGTTGAATGGTTACTTCCTCTCGACCCCTGGGAGGACGTATCCATCAACAGATGCCCTCGGGTGGAGGATAACAAATTTGTTCTTTTATGAAGCTTGCATAACACCGCAGGGGGACTCACAGGACGGCCGCATGTGGCCGGATATCGCATTCTGTTCAGTTTAAACGACATTCCCATGGTTTCCAAGAGTGTTAACGTGAAGTTTCAGAACACTTGCTAGAATCAGTGGCTGTGTCACTAATCGGAATATTGCTCCATATAGTTTTGGCAACGAATAAGCTAAAAAAATAAAAAATACAAATATTGAGGGCATAATATATAAACAGGCAAATTATGTAATGTAAATTATTTAGCATAGCCAATTTGTAAAAGAAAAAAAAAGTCACAACCGAATAAAATCTGTTTAAAAATATTTTTGGCACAGTAAAACTGATATTGTATTATTCATTTATTTAATATTATATAAGAACTGAAAACAAGGTTTATAAAATGCAATCATTTTGAGAGTTGCAGCTGGCTGAGACGCGAAAGTGCCGGATAGCCTATTTACCAGCTCTGCTAGTTTTTATATTGACTCTTCATGCTTAAATATGTACCTTAGATTTAGTAAACTATCAATTCTGTGGGAAACAGCTCCCAAAAGGAGGGCAGAATTAAGGACCCTCATCTAGCAGTGTGATCAGGCACAGCACGTCTGGTTTGTCGGCAGCAGACAGCGCTCATTAGTGTGTTTCAATGGTCCAGGCCCCTAGAGGGCATTATTGGTGCACTCACGTGAAAGTCAGCAGAGACCTTCTGAAGAATTCATTTTAATGCACCTCACAGTTACACAACCTTCAATTGTGCAACAGTGGAAGCGTGTAAGTGAGACATATACAGTAAGAATTTAACATCAAATGTGCATCTAATCCTCAGTTGTGGAGTTTTATTTTTATGTCTAATGGTTTTTTTATTATTATTATTTTTATAATGCTATTCTATCAATTCTTGACAATATCAGTTTGAAATATTTAGAATGTCACAATACAAATTCTCAAGAATCTCACAATAAATGCATCATTAGTTGGGTCATTCTGGTTGTGCAGTACAGTTCATTTCATCATAATATTCATCATAATTTATTGGATGAAATCAGAAAAACAGGTTTTAAGAATGTAATTCATATTAGTTAATTTTCATCACAATCTCGATGACCTTGAAATGTTTTCACTGCTTTGGTGATTTGAGATACAGTAGATGTTGTCATTTTTGCCATGTCATTAAGAACTTCATGAATGAAAAATCTGTCCATTTTTAAGACCACAGCACAAGCATTAGTAAGTGGATTTTTAAAAATATTTTATTTAAAGCTTTTCACATTTTAGAGAACAAACCCCCAACCCCCATGCCAGCAAATCGAAGGAAGTTGAAAGAAAAAAATAAATAAATAAAAATAAACCCACATATAGTACAATTAAATACATATACACCTCCATAAACAAACACCGTTCATATTGTGTACTTATACAAAAACATATACAGACATATCTACGTATACACACAGAATCATTAAGATTTTTTTTTTTTTAATATTCCAATACCAATACCAATAAATACCCAATTATGGAAAAAGTTAAATTGTTACACACTAATATATTTGATCAACTTAACCACACCACTTAAAGAAGAAGTTTAAATTCAGTTATCCTTGGTCACCTTCCAAATATTAAAAGAAGGACTTCCAGATCTGCACAAATCTCTTTAGTTTACCTGCAATCTCATATCTAATCTTTTCCATATATGTAACACACTGAGCTCTGTAAACCACGTCTCAAATTTAGGTGCAAACTCTTTGTTCCACATCAACAAAATTGTCTTTTTTGCTATGGTCATCCCATATTGACCTGTCTGGATTTGATTGAAACTATAGTTCTCTAAGAAAGGGGCCCAGCAAAAAGAGGGAGAAGTGGATTTTGTGATGTGATGTTTGGTATGTTTGCACCTCACGAATATACTATACCAACCTGGTACGTTTTCACACACACACACACACACACACACACACACACACACACTTACTTAGCTATCTAAATGGGGACATCACATAGACTTCTATTTTTTAACCTAAACCCACCCTTACCCCTAACCCTACCCCTCACAGAAAACTTTCTGCATTTTTACAATAAAAAAACTAACTTTGTTTACTTTATTTTTATACAAGTTTTACAAATACAAGTGACACACACACACACACACACACACACATATATATATAGCTCGATAACACTGGGCATGATCCTGCATAAAACATCCTTTGTGAACATTAAAGCGTGCGAGTTTGGTCTCCTACTAAGTAAAATTGACTTTATTAATTTAATCGCTGCTGTTGACAGGTGGAACAAACATTTTGGTCATGACTCCAATAGTATCTGGCCTGGGTGGAGGGGTACATGTAGCATGTTGGATGGAAACCAAGGCAACTGGACGCTGAACCGCCCCTTTTTGCACTTTCTCTGAATGAAATCTCTTCAGCGTGCACGAAGCCGAGCGCGCAATATGTAAACATGTGGCACTGATTGCGTTCCACGTTTCTTTTAAGTTTTGGACAGTTTGCGTCTGTTCCACAAGGACATCAAACATGTCAGAAGAGGAAGAAACAGCGTTTTCCGAAGACCCTAGGGTGCAGTATTTAGGCGAGATACTCTGCCGGATGCTCAAACTCAAAACTGATGCGTGGGAAAAATTTGTCAATGTTGAAAAAAATAAAATGCTTTTTACAACGTTCTTCGAAGCGCGTATTAGACTGTTATTTTTCAGCGTGACAGCGTCCAATGCTCCAACTGTTTCTCCAGAGGTAAGTGAGCAAAAAGGCCTTGTGTTTACATATAGGCCTGTTGAATGCATGCAAAATCATAGACCACCACAGCAACAATAACCCGTTGTTTTATGTGTACACTTTAGGTTTGTAATCTCTCTAAAGACAAGAAAGTTTACATTCTCAGAAAAGGAAATTCCCCCGTCCTGCCAGAAACCTGTAGGAGTTCTTTACTCTTTGGGGTGCTGTCACCCTCCTTTCTGCCACAGCTGTTAGACACCATGGAGAAGGTAATGAACACTTATAGACTCCAAAGTCCACAACTGTTTGATTTGCTGTCAAAAAAGTAAATAAAATACACAACGAAACTGAATATTAGCAGGAACGCCCACCTTTTCTTTTCTTTTCTTTTCTTTTCTTTTCTTTTCTTTATTGAGCTGAAGTGAATAGAAGTATACAATTTGAACATATAATTTACAGTGTTAAACACTGGTGTTATGCATGCAGTTGAGTCCTTGGTCATCATCCTGTACAACTGTCTGTAAAATTTGTCAATATTTTGCTTCAAGGTCTGTCTGCCGCTTCTGTTGAACAAGAAGAATCACCAAATGTGGCCGAATATAATATCACAGGATGTGACGCAACACATAGAAAATTTGCAAAGCAAGGTCACCGTGGTGAGGGGACAGTATAATGGCAAAACCGTCCTTCCTGTTCCTGCCACAGAAGTGAATAGAAGTATACAATTTGAACATATATAATTTACAGTGTTAAACACTGGTGTTATGCATGCAGTTGAGTCCTTGGTCATCATCCTGTACAAATGCCTGTAAAATTTGTCAATATTTTGCTTCAAGGTCTGTCTGCCGCTTCTGTTGAACAAGAAGAATCACCAAATGTGGCCGAATATAATATCACAGGATGTGACGCAACACATAGAAAATTTGCAAAGCAAGGTCACCGTGGTGAGGGGACAGTATAATGGCAAAACCGTCCTTCCTGTTCCTGCCATCAGAGAATGGATAGAGCTGTGTCAAGAGACAACGATCACACTGTATGAATGTTTTATTTGTTTGTTTGGGAATAATATACAAAACCATTCAATGGTTTGGAGTCAGTACGTTTTTTTTAAGAAGATATTTCTACTTTTATATAGCAAGGATGCAACGAATTGATCAAAAGTGGCAGTAAAGATGTGCGTTTTCATATATAAAATATAAGATAAAATGTAATGATAAATATTATTAACATTGATAATAAAAAAATGTTTCTTGAGCACTTAAGTACTGCATGCTGAAAATTCAGATATGACATAAAAGGAATAAATAAATCATGTTAAAATATATTAAAATAGAAAACAATTATTTTAAATTGTAATAATGTTTTACAATATTACTGTTTTTTTAATGTATTTTTAATTAAATAAACACAGCCTTGGCTAGCATAAGAGACTTTCAAAAACATTAAAAAAAAATCTTACCAACCAAACTAAATCAGACTTTCAAACACTAATTCTAAAAACCTAATTCTGTCTAAAATCTTAGTTTTGATTTAAGATGAACTAATATGTTGTATTTTTTCTGGTTATTGTCTTGTAGTCTGACTCGCTTATTAATCCTCATAGAGTAAGATTAAAAAGCATGAAGTGTCTTCGTTTTGACTAAAACAACAATCAATTTCTAATTTTCAAACAAGGCAAGACAGTCGCAACAGAGCCATGATACATGCAATTGAGTCCATGGTCATCAGCTGGATGCACATGATCCATAAAGTCTTAAGAGCAGATTCTGCTGACTTGATTGTGACAGGATTGAACCCTGGACCAAAAGCTGAACTTGACTACTGGAGATCCAGGAAAACGAACATACAGAGTATTCATGAACAGGTTCGTCCAGAAACAAACATTTCATGGTGTATAAGCAAGCAGAAAGGTTTTATAATGTACTAAATCTTTGTAAATCTCAGCTACAGAATCCTTGTGTTCAGAAAATGATGAGGATTCTGGAAATTATAGACAGCAGTTATTTCCCATCATTCAAAGCTCTGACAGAAGCTGTTTTTGATGGTAAGGCACGTGATTTTCCCAATACATTTGATTAATAATACAGTTGAGTTTTATACTGTTCTTCCTACTACATAATACCATTCTGTTCATATTTTGCCTAGTTATCATTTATGTGTATTTGTCTCTCAGCTTTGCAGGAAGCCAGAGCTATAGATCTTCACCTTCAACCTCTTAGATCATTGCTGTCTCAACTGGAGGAGGATGAGTTCTCATCCTTCCATACACTCATTCCACCAGTCTTTCATCTTATATTTCTGGTCTGGACTCACTGTTCATTCTATCGTTCACCTGCTCGCATCGTTGCTCTGCTGCAGGAGCTCTGCAACCTTTTCATTCGGCAGGTGTGACATATGTGACAATCTTCTAATTTATGCTTAGTGCGTGTTATTTGAAAATGTTCGGTTGCCAAATCAGTCATGTGGTGCGACGAACATGCAGAAACCCGCTCATAACTGTGTCAAGGTGAACAAGTCTCTTAAGATAACAGATAATGTAGCCTTTTATGACAAGGCAAGGTTAGTTTAGGTTGTAAAACGTCATGTGGAGCGACTCCTCCAAAAATGAAATTATATTTCTGAATTAATAATTCATGATATTTGGAAAAAAAAATTTAAACGAAACATTTGAAAATAATGACTACGATGTGTACACACATGTATTCAAGGTGTAAGAAAAACATACATTTTACATAGTTTTATGTAGTACATTTTACTTGATGGTTACACCACATGACTAAAGAGTCATTCAATCATATAAAATCAACATGAATACAAAAAATACATTTCCTGGAACTAGATTTTTATCTCGTCTTTCCTTTCCTTTTGTCATGGACACCCATACCCCCCAAAATATATTAGTAAAATATGTTTTAAATAGATTTCAAAATATACAAAAAAATGTCCAAAAATATATTTGCTAAAATATGTTTCAAAATAAATGTGCTTAAATATATATATATATATTTGGGCATTATTTTGTATGTCTTGTTTGTGTTTTCTTGCTCCTGAAATACATTTTTAAATATATTTCAATATGTTATATGAATGTTATTATTTGAAGGTTGACATGAAATATTTTTTCAATTTTAAAATATATATATATTTATTTATTTTATTTTATTGCTATTTTTGTTCACCGTATGGGCAGTCCTATGCGCAATTTAACCATGAATCAATCAATTAAAAATCTTTTACTATTTATCTATTTGGGAGAGCAGCCATGTATTAATTGTAAGTTCTATTCAGGGAAATGCAGAGTAGAATTAGAATAGAGATAAAAATTTTGTTCTTGTAACCAAAACGTCAATCTTTGCTCCATCTAGGCCACTTCATATCTCCGTGCAGAGCAGCTGCTGAGAGCAGAGACTGAAGATGGTTTGGAGAAGTTACAGACTGTGATGGGAGTTTTCAGGTGTGTCAGGGAAACATTCAAGACATACAGACAGAAGGTGGCTGCGTTGGCCAGTCATTATTGTACACCAAAGTGCTGGGATTTCCCTTCAGCTCTTGTTTTTACACGATTTGATGGCTTCTTGGCTCGTGTTTTACAGTTGAAGGTAAGTAGTACATCTTTTGAAGGGATCATATACACTTTCACTTTCAGCCACAATTCAGTTTTATTTATGTGAGTAATAATGTTCTTTTTACTTACATTTTTGTGAGACCGTAACATTTTGAAAATGATTGTTTTCCAGGCCTTTTTCTCCACTATGCTGGAGTTCCAAAGGTTGGAGAAGCTGGTTTTTGGAGGTCACAGAGGAAGGGTTTACACTGAGCAGGTCTCTCGAATATATGCAGAGTTTCTTCAGCTTTGCAAAGCCATAAAGGATCAAGAATACAATCCACTCGATTTGACTTCTCTGGTATGGTTACATCATGGAGTGTATTTCTTGCTTGGGATATATTAGAATCAGCCATAAGATAACAGCAAGTCATATAGAAACACATATTTTTAATGGTAGCTTAAAGTGCCCCTATTATGGATTTTTGAAAATTACCTTTCATGCAGTGTGTAACATAGCTCTAAGTGAATGAAAGCATCCTGCAAAGTTTTAAATCTGAAAGTGCACTGTATATAAAGTTATTGTCTCTCAAAAGAAAGAGTCGACTCTGAATCATTTCAACGAGTCATTTTTAAAACGAATCCCAAGCCGTTTCATGTTGACGTCAGCATGAAACATTAGCATATTGCCCACCCACTTGTTGTGTGCGCAGACCTGGGAAAACTTGACTTCTCGCGTTGGTTTGAATGAAAATGCAAATTCATTCTTTGCCACTATAGGTGCCGCTTTTGGAGCGGTAAAATAGCTGTTTCCCCGGTAACGCTGCACACAAAGCAGCACTGCCTCACAAACCCTGCTTTATCAGGCATTACAGGCATGATGAAATGGAAATGAAATTGACCAATCGGACCAATCACTGCAGATTAGTGTCACGCAAAGGAGGGGTTTAGAAAAATGAATCATTGAGCGAATCGTTTGGGAGTCGTTGAGCAAATAAGGTAAAAAAATAAATGCATATTATAAGAAAATGAAAGTTTTTTGACCTTGCATGCATGTCAACCTGTTGTTGGGGACTCCCTAAAGCAAAATATGAACCTTTCATAACCCATAATAGGGGCACTTTAAACAACTTGATGTCTGATAATATGATAATAATGCCTCACTGAATATGTCACAGTGTAGATAATGTGGTATATGAGTGTTTGGTACAATAGCAGATATAACTCTCACTGTTTTTTATAGTTGCTATAGTTCAGTTTTTTATGGAGTTCCTGGGGCTTTCTTGTAAATATAGGGTATGTTTGGATACAACATGCCTGATATTTGGCAACCTTCTCAAAGGCTTAATTGTTCCCATAAATCCTAATTTTTGTTCTGTTTGTCATGTAGGCCTAAACGTTTTTGGTAACACCTTTATAGTAATGGTTAAAACCTAATATGTCAATATGAAAAATTATTTAAATATCAGCCTATATTGTTCAGCACATTGTTACTTAATGTACAATCTAATACACATGATTGTAAAGGAATTAATTATACTTTATATGAATTGTTAAAACTTTTTTGACCAGGATATAATATTATATTCAGTATTTAACTTATGAAACACATTTTAAATAATTGATTTTCTTAAATTTTACATTTTGTATTATTTAAATGTCAGCCTATATTGTTCAACACATTGTTACTTAATGTACAATCTAATACACATGATTGTTAAGGAATTAATTATACTTTATATGAATTGTTAAAACTTTTTTGACCAGGATAGAATATTATATTCAGTATTTAACTTAGGAAACACATTTTAAATAATTGATTTTCTTAAATTTTACATTTTGTGTAAAGGATTTCGAAAAAGACTTTTCAAGTTTCCAAGAAAGAGTTGCAGACTTTGATCGACAGCTGTCCAGTATTTTGTGCCTTGCCTTTCAAGATTGTTCAGGATTGGAATCAGTTTTCAAAGTAAGCAATTCTGGTGAGACAGATTTAGTTCAAATGAATCGGAAAAAGCATACAGTGCCTTGCAAAAGTATTCATACCCCCTCATTTTAATTTATTTATTTTTATTTTTTTACACATTTTGTTGTATTTAAAATAGAAGTTATTTAAAGCAGTTTAACATAAGGCTGCAACATAACAAAATTAGAAAAAAAATGAAGGGGTATGAATACTTTCACAAGGCACTGTAAAATAGCCAAACCTATATAACCTTTTAATCTGTATGTTTGAAGCTGGTCGCTGTGCTCAAACCCCTTTTGGAAAGAGACATCATAAAGGAAACGTTTATTCCTAATTTCTCCAAAGTGATTCAGCTTTTTGCAGATGAGCTGGACAGATGCAAACACCTGTTTGATTTTCATCTTGAGCAGGTAAAGTAGTTGTTTTTCAACAGATTTTTGTTTTTGTACAAAGAGGGCCTTGTTTAATTCCTCATTTAATTCCAGAAAAAGATGAACAAACTGCATTTGAGCAAGAACATGCCTGCTATGACAGGTTGTCTGAAGTGGGCAAAAATGCTTAGAGACAGAATTCAAATCCCTTGGAACAACTTTCAGTTTGTTCTGGATATGTAAGTGTTTTAAATTCTATTCCGATTGTTACAGTTTTGTCTTTTCTTTAATGCAAATAATGAAAGATGATGGTTCATTTATATTACAGGAGTATCGAAGGAGCGGAAATGGAACTGGTCTATCATAAGTACCTGGAGATGTCCTCTCATTTAGATGAGTATGAGAATCAGGTCTATTTGAGCTGGTGTGGCAATATTAACCAGGTCTGCCAGATGAACCTGGATCAGCCCCTAATCAAAAGAGATCCCAGCACTGACCTGCTGTCAGTAAACGTCAATCAAGAGGTGAAGAACATAAATGTAGTGTGTTTAAAATCTATAACAGCATAAGGCATATATTTAAATTGTTAAAGCGACTAATTTTGAGGAATCTGTCAGTGTATTCATTTGCATAATACTGAACTTTTTCACCTTAGCTGATTGCTGTGCTCAAGGACGTGAAACACCTGGAAATCCTTAATCAGATGAACATCCCTTCTGCTGCTATGAAGGTGTATGAAAATAGAAAGATGTTCTTTAAGGTTAGGAAATGCTTAGTTTGTTTGGTATCAGTTAAATTGGGTTTTTATATTCTATGGCATGAAAATGAGTATTTTACCTGATCTCCATTAGAACCTTGGGAGCCTACATTTACTGGTGCAGTGGTATAACAAGGTGAAACAGACAACTCTTGAAGTGGATGCTCCTCTTATGAAAGAGGAGATGGAGACTGTTGACCGGCAAATCCATCTAGCAGAAACTGAGCTTACATGGCAAGACCAGAACTGCTGGAACTACATCTGCACACTGAAGGACACTGTCTACCGGCTGGAGAGAAGACTGCAAACAACTAAAGACAATATTGAGATGATGGAAGTTCTGATGAATGGATGGAGCAAACAGCCAATGTTCTGCAGAAAAGACCATAAGAAAGAATCGTCACTACAACTGGATGATAAAGCAGGAACAATGGCAAAATGCTACAGCAATCTCAGAAAAGATGGAGAAATTATCCATAACTTGTTACAGGTGAGGGAGCGTCTTTTTATAGATTCTTTTTGCTACACCATATTTCTATAACATTCATGTTTTCTTGTTTCTTTCCCAGGAGAACGTGATCCTTTTTGCAGCGGATAGTTCTTCAGATGCATGGAAGGCCTACTTGGAGTATGTAGATGACATGGTGGTGGAGGGGTTTTTCAGTGCTGTCTCAACTTCTCTGGAGTTTTTCATTGAGAATATGGAGGGGTCAGTGAGGCAGGCTCCCTTGTTTGAGGCTCAAATGCTACTGATGGGATCCGAGATTAAGTTTAAACCGTCTCTGGATCGAGATGGTGGCGATGGACTTTATGAATTGGTGGAAGAATTACTAGGAGTTGTGTTCAAGATGTCTGCTCAGGTGAAGAGGGTGGCACCTCACCTAAGTGTGGAGGACTACCAGGTATTCACAGTTAATGAATTTAGAGTGGCTTCCAAATATCTGAGGTCACATTGAAAATATGCGATTCAAAATAAAATTGATACCTGGAAATATATATATTTTTGTGCATTTAGCAGACACTTTTATCCAAAATGTGACCTTAGACCACAAAACCAGTCTTAAGTCGCTGGGGTATATTTGTAGCAATAGCCAAAAATACATTGTATGGGTCAAAATTATTGATTTTTCTTTTATGCCAAAAATCATCTCTAGGTTACGTATGTAACCATGGTTCCCCGAGGGAATGAGACGCTGCGTCGAAATCGCTTTGGGAACGCCCCTGCGTGACCGCGTTCTGAAGCACGTGTCAAATCAGTCCAATGGAGTAGCGAGACGTCACGAGCGGGGTGACGTAAGCACCAGAAAGTATAAAAGCGCATCCGGCAGAGCGCAAACCAGCTTCGATGAAGTAGCGCCTGAGGGATGCAGGGAGTATGACAAAGAGACGCAGCGTCTCGTTCCCTCGGGGAACCATGGTTACATACGTAACCTAGAGACGTTCCCCTTCAGGAACTCGAGCTGCGTCGAAATCGCTTTGGCAACGAGAATACCCACTGCGCCATACTACCAAGTCCCTGCCTGTGTGTGTATCTTGCGAGCACATCACGAAGAGAGAACTTGGGAACCTGGGTAGATGCCAGGTCTAGGTTGTAAAAACGGACAAAAGTGTGCGGAGAGGACCAGCCTGCCGCAGCACAAATGTCCTGCAAGGCCACACCCAAGTTGAAAGCCTTGGAGGCCGCCATACTCCTGGTCGAGTGCGCTCTGACCCCCATAGATGACGGGAGGCCAGAGGACTCGTAGGCTAGTGAGATGGCCTCGACCACCTACCTACTCATAGTCTGCTTGGTCGCCGGAGATCCTTTCTTTGGCGGACCAAAACAAACAAAAAGCTGATCTGCCTTA